AATACACACAAAACGCAATATATCTGCGGATTAATGGCAGAAAAAAGAGACAAAGTTTAGTCTCAATTAAGTGTTGAGTCAGAGAGAGAGAGATGTATGAAAAATAAAAATTTATAGACAATTATATTGTCTAGAAATGTATTATAGTGTCTGTAATGAAATGTAATTCAGCTTTCTAATTATGTGCGATTAAGTTGAGAGTCTATTTTAATTAAATAAGTTTCCAAAAGTTAATGAAAAATAAAATTTTAAGTAAATTGCAACTGAAATATAAATTGCATTTTTGGTGAATTACTTTTAGACTTTTTATATAAAAGTATATAAGTTATAGCATTTGATTAATAATACATACATTCAATAGGCAGACCGATACATCACTTCCCAATAGTATCCAAATAAATGAGTCTAGGACCTAATATGAATTATTTAATACAAAAAACTTATATAATATAAGTTAAAATATATTTGTAATCATACGGGAAATTAATATAAATTAATTTAACAATAAAACAAAATATATAAATAAATAAATAAAAATCGATACTAATTGAAAATGGGTAATATTATCCCATATAACATTGTTTTCTATTAGCTGTCTATATATAAAACAATATAATCGTATAAAATTAGGCCAAACATAATAGTGATGTCAGAAAACTGCAAATACCGTCTCCTTATCGTTAATTAGGAAACAACAGAGTATGACATCCAGGCCTGTCGTTATGGATACGACCACCATCCAGGGTATCAACATTTTTCTGTTATCCTGGTTAAATAAATTTTTTATAATGCAATTAATGAATAGTAAAAATGTATTTATAGAGATATGAATGATAATAATGTATTGAATGCTAAATACCACACAAAGTCCCACCAATAAGACCACGGATGCCATAACACAGAGACCGGAGAATAGGAGCAATAATACGCTTAATATGAATATCACTATCAAATTGTGCGAGATAATATATTGAGTTCAATTAATATTTCTCGTTATCTCTTAGGAGAGAAAAGTTATTTTTATTGTTTTTAATGTCTGTCGTA